ACATCCCCAGTCGACACCAACTGCCAAACAACTAGTAGCTCAGTGTTCCAACATCTGAAAACGGCAACTGTTGTCACAACTTGAGATTGACGAGGTACAACACAAGTGCAAGGGGGAGGAACCAGGACACCAGGTCAGAAGGGAGTTAACCACAACTACCCTCCCAGAGACTGGATATGTAGCTCCAGTAATGAACAAACCATCTGAGCTGAAGAAGGCAGCAACTGACCTGAGGGAGAGAATCACGGCCCAAATGAACACCAGACAACCCCGATGCCAATTACAACAGCTGAGTGAAGTACCATCAGAAAGTCTCATTGAAGATGTGAATACAGCATTGGGAACGATCCCTACTGTAGCAGTAACTTAGGACTGTCCCACCTCATGACTTTGGTCAACACATTCCTCTTTCCCATGTCTACAAGAGAACAATGACTTATTCCATTTATCTCCAAGCCTTTTGTTTATTATCTACAGGTGGTAACATAAACAGGACCTGACAACCTCCTATTGATTAAGTACTGTGTGAGAATCCCTTTCATGTGCTCAAAATGGCCGCTTATCACAAAGAACTCAAGCCTTTTTGCAGACTGAATGTCTACCAGGAGTGGGTTTGCAGCCATAAAACCCCTTTTGAGACCCGATCTCTTGCTGAGATGTAACACCTAGGCAAGCTTCAAAAATATACATTTACATACCATCTCATTTATGGTTTTAGAGCGCCCCCAAAAGACTGGCTTCATAATTACATCATGGACAGATGTCTYTCTGTATTTCTCATTCTGATAAAAAAAAGAAGAAAAAAAAGAACCATTGTATTTTCTATCATGATTCAATCATTGTAATAATGTCCTGTTTTAATTACTTCACAGGTAATCTATCATTCTGTGTGTTTAATCAATTTAGTGGTAAGAGACTGTGGAAAGGAAGATACAGTAGATCATGTGACTATTTTTAGCCAATCCTGAGTTTTTACAGTCAGAACAATAGGTCCAGTGAGTGGTCAGTTTGGAAGCAGATGAAGTAGTAGAGAAGATGCAGATGATATGAAGAAGAGGAGGAGGAAGGACAAAAGGTCCGAGCTCCATTTTTCCCCTTTGGGGACATTTTTATTTTATTTTATTTTATTTTATTTTACTTTTTCCTTTGTACTTTTGACAGAGTTGTTGGGAGGAAGCAAAGTTGCGTAGGATTCTAAATTGACCTTCATTTACAAAGTCAGGACCCAGCCGAGCTGCGAAGGGTGTCGAGTGTTGCGTGAGCTGAAAGGTTTGCCAACCCTTTCGGAGCACCAGATTATACCAGAGCAATAGAGGCTCAGATCTACCACACCAGACAAGACCCAAGGCGTAGGTTGTGCAAGGAGGCCCCTGAGACAGTCCAGCACATAACAGCAGGGTGCAAGATGCTGGCAGGGAAAGCGTACATGGAACGACATAACCAAGTGGCGGGCATAGTGTACAGGAACATCTGTGCAGAATATGGATTGGAAGCCCCGAGATCGAAGTGGGGAACACCCCCAAAGGTGGTGGAGAATGACCGAGCTAAGATCCTGTGGGACTTCCAGATCCAGACAGACAAGATGGTAATGGCGAACCAACCGGACATTGTGGTGACAGAAACTTTTGGTCAAACCCCAAAAATACCATCATCACCCACTGAAGTGTTGCCTGTCTGGTGAAAAATGACTCACCCTATTAGC